CGGGGTCCTCGCGGCCTCGCGGGGCCCTCGCGGCCTCGCGGGGTGGTCCGCGGGGTCCTCGCGGACTCGCGGGGTGGTCCGCGGGGTCCTCGCGGACTCGCGGGGTGGTCCGCGGGGTCCTCGCGAACTCGCGGGGTGGTCCGCGGGGTCTTCGCGGCCTCGTGGGGTGGTATTTTTGGCCTCCTTTTTATTGCTCTTGTTTCAAGAGCACAAGTCAAGAGCTCGTATCAAGTACAGATCTGTACTTGTTCCAAGAACTTACTTTTCTGGGTGCACAATGCACTCATTCATCCACCTCTCCCTACCGGTGCGGTCCTGAGCGCCAGCAATGGACTGGACCCCCACCCTCTCTCCCCTTTCACACACACACTCTCTCTGGCCGACCAGCACACGAACTCCCTCTCCCCTTACCACAACCGCAGGCTGTATGAAGGGGGCGCGAGAAAGCAGAGGGCGTGGAAAACAGCAGATGAAATATTTGTAAAGCGAGGCCAACTTCATTTACTTGATAATTCAATTTGAGTTTGATATTGTGTTAGAAGTTGCGCCGGCAGCAGTGTGGCGGCTGCTGGGGATAAAGCACGGAGCAGTCAGTCCGCACAGACGGGGGAGCGGGGGAGGGGGACGGGAGGGGCGGGAGAGGAGAGGGGAGGGGAGGAAGAGGGGAAGGCTGTGAGGTCATTGCTCACTAACGAATAGTACCAAATAGTATCGTAACAAAGTGAAAGAGACAAATACGTATTTAGTCATTGTATGCAGAAATACAGAAAAAAAAGCAGATTGTTACTAAAAAATTAAACCGGCGTTATTCGTCAAACGACGTAAACAATCCCAACAGGAAAGAGGAAAGAGGGAGGTGGGGCACTCTGAAAAATAGTAGGTAGGTTTACCTTTACCTTCTCTGACGCAAGTTGTAAAATTACAATTTGAAATCGTAAAAAAACATGCTGTACGGATCGACTTAAAATCCATTGGCAAGGAATAAATCTGTCCTCGTAAATTAACAACTTAAATTATAATTCAAGTTTACAAAATTTTTGTAAGTTTACGACGATATTTTTCAGAGTGGGTATAAGGAAGAGGAGACCAGAGCGAGGAGGCGAGGGCAGCAAAGACACACGTCCTCGGATGTTCCACTAAGCGGCTCAGCAGCGGTGAAAACCACACATGTCCAATATAAGTAAGGGAGTGGGAAAGACATCGGAAAACCCATAGAAAAAATGTTTGAAGTAAGCTCGCTCGCACACGTGTGGAGGCACACACAGAGTCCCACAAAGCGGCCTTCTTTTGACATGACCGATTACCATCTGCTCTACAAAACACACTAACGGTGTACGCTAGAACAGTCGACCATGCACACACAAGGTAGACCGTGTCTGCAGGTAAGTAAGTACAGATGGCCCCCAGTGGGCGAAGAGGGTGGGGAGAGAGAGGGTGAGAAAGACAGAAATCCTCTCGCCAAACAAAAGGGGGCGACTCGAAGGAGGGAAGGTGGCTCCGAATTAACTCGCCTTGCGGGCCGAATTCCAAATTAAACAGTAATTTACAAAGAAGATTTAAGCCTTCCCTCCCTACCCCACCCTTGCGCAGAGCAAACCACCAGCCTTGCATTAAATATCGACGCAAAGACACTCCGGGCGATTAGCAGAAGGAAACAAGATAAAAGGCGGAGAGCGCGGCCAGAGCGCAGCCGGCCCCCAGTAAGTCAGCCGGGGGCCACGCCTCGGCCGCAGCTGGTGCGCCAATATCAGGAACCAATGAGCATGCAACAGAGTGAGGCGAGCTAGAAAATGGAAGAGAAAACAAGCAGCATGGGCCTTCTAGCGGCATCTTTCTCGCGGCCGAAACTGTCCCACAACCATAAAATAGTATCCTTAAACCAAGAAAAATTTCTTTTAAAATATTACAAGGAAATTTTTTTCTTGGGTTAAGGCATTTCTAGTGTTTCCAAGGAAATTTTCTTTAATCTAACGACAAGTTTCAGTTTATTTCACCGATCATTGCCTTATATGCTTATATGCTAAGGAAAATTTCCTTGCATTTGAGGTAAAAGTAGCCTACATGACTTGTTTCAAAGGATACCATTTTGTGGGTGCATCATGTTTAGAGTGTGGTGCGGGGAGAAAAGCAAAGCCCCCCTCCCCTCACCCCACCCTTTTTGCTTCTTGATGGCTGGATAAGAGCAGGGAGAGTTTGGAACAGGTGCGATCCGCAAGGGGCGCTGGACGCCTCGCTGGACAACCTGGACGGGCGGGAGAGCACCGCCCGGCCAAGCCACCCTCCTCTACAGGGGCGTAAGGACGGGGTAGTTATTCAAATCAGCCCCTCCCTACCACCGCACCCCTACCCCCTCCACTCAGGCCGAGCGGTCGCCCTCAAACTCGCCACCACCACGCACCACACATCGACACACACACAAACACTCACACTCACACACGGCGAAACACAATATATTCACTCCCGCCCTCACGTCCCGTTCCCTTCTTTTCCGAGCCATAGATAAATAGTCGGCTTAACGAATGTTTATATGCAGCAGGGGAGGCGTGCACAGGGCGTGCGGAGCGCGGGACGCAAAGTCTATACATTAATGCAAAATATAATCCCCCACGCCACCGCTGGCGCGGGTAGGGCGTTTGATTCAGCGGGCACCTGGGAGACATATATCGACACTTCAGAGAGGGAGACAGCAGCGCAGCCAGCCGCCTGCCTGGGCCTGCTCCCAGTCACATAAGAGAGCATTTTCCTCGGGATACTGCTGCTGCTGGCTTCTCCGGCATTATGTTTGTAAGAAAGCACAAGCTCAAGTGCATATTCAAGCTTTTGATGTGGAAAAGCAGGACAGCAAGTTCTATTATTAGTAGTGGAATGCAAGTTGACTCACAAGATTCAATTCAAATCTCTAGGAAATCTTGTCCTCTTAGTGGCACATGCAGACACACGTCAGATTCACTGTTGAAGAATTTCGTCATTTCACGATAAAAATATGTCACGAATGGTTAGTAATTGAAATTAACGAGTATTATTCGTCAAGTTCAGTTACGAACTGTTCGTAGCGGAATAAAACAAACTATATTCGTAGCATTATAGAACTATTTAATAGTGCCAATTTATCAGGATGTTAGAATGTTTGTTTCAAAATATATTTCGTCCAAGATTGTTTTCTCAGGACAACAACCGAGCTACAAACTGTTCGTCATTTTACGAATCTATTCGTTACTTTTAAATAACGAAGAGTTTGTGAAGAAAATTTAACAGTGCATTTTTCGTAAAATTACGATATAATTTCCAACAGTGTTGATATCAGACATCATCCACCAGATCGATATTATAATCCTGCTTTATAGCTATTTCAAAAGAGGAGGGTGGGCCGTGCCGTAGGCCCCTAAAACGGGGCGGACATATTCATCACTTCGTTGTTCCTCACCTTTTTCGCGTCATTGTTGTTATCTGCGTGGTTGGCCTGCGGACTCATCATGTTGCCATTGCTGACGGCCGCCGTCTGGGAGAGTAGCTCGTCCGAACCCCTCTGCAACACAAAAAGGAAACAAGAATGTAAAAACATTTTTCTTAGCCTTGACACGAATTTGTTGTCACTCGAGAACGGTTCGTCGATCTCAAAAACACGCAATAACAAAATAAAAACAACAAGGTCCATAGGGGTCAAATATTTTTAGGGAGAAGTAACAGCAACCAGAAGTCCTCCTTCGCCGCGTCAAAAAGATCCATTTGAAAAAAGATAAAAAAGAAAGGTGCAAACACGTCATTGCGCGCGCCACCCCAACGCAAAGGTGCGGCTCTTCGTCTTTCCTCCCTCTTTTTTGTTCCTTCACTCTCTCCAACGCGACCGAGACGAGGCCATCACCGTACCAGACAAAAGCATCGGAACACTGCACCCGCCCCGCCCCTCCCAAATGTCCCGAGCAGCAGGCGCCGCCTAGCGCCGCCCTCAGCCCGATAGACAAAGACGTTTTCTACGAGTCAACAAAAACTTCCTTTCCTTTATTCCTCCCCGCCCCTCTCCGGCCTCACGCCGCGCGCCCTGTGCTAAATGCAGAAACTGCGGACAAGGAGGGTCCGTCCATAAATTTGCGCGAACGTCTTCCCGTAACCGCCACGCGCGGCGGTGCGAGTGCCTCGTCATTCTAGAGACGGTCCCCGAGGCGAGATTGCACCCGGCGGGAGGGCGTAGCGTGGCCACCAGCCTGGCCGAGGACAATAGTGTAGTAATGTAGCAAATTAATAATCAGAGCAAAATTAACGCCAGGCCGGGCCACGAGGCGGAGGGAGCAGGAGCAGGGGGCGACCGAGACGGCGAGGGAGACATCCAGGGAGGCGGAGAGTCGGGCGGGGTGGCGGAAGGTGAAGGAGAGCTGGGCAGGAGAGCAAGGCAATGAGTCGGATCCAATTGGAAACAAGCCGGACAGCGGCGGCGTGGGGTAGGTTAGCAGCGTGGTGGAAGTTGCTGGGCGGGGCGAGGCGGCGGGGCACGCAACCCTGTTGTGTACACATTCCACGCAGCCGGCTGTGCTGCGGGCGGCCCAGCATTAAGTGAATTAATATTCACAAGCGACGAGAGCAGAGGGGTGATGGGTAGGGCGCGAGCGAGAGAGAGAGAGGGGGGGGGGGGGAGGAAGCACTAGAGGAGCACCGCGAGAAGCACCATCACCACCACCACGGCCGGGGGTGGTGTGGTGGACGGTGTGTCGCTGCGACTCCCAACTCACTGCTAACTAAGTTGGGGTGATCAGCTCCGCTGCTGGCGTTGCGCGGCACCCAATGCAGCGCGCGCACATACATACACACACACACACACACACACACACACACACACGCACGCACGCACGCAAGCACGCACGCACGCACATACATAAAGAGCGAGGGCCGAGTTACACTGTGCCGTGCTGCGCCGGGCAGCGCGCCCGCCGTGGAGGTGGGCCAGCCCGCCGCGCACGGGTGCAGTGCGGGCGTGCCTACCGCCAAGGGGGCCACCAGCACCAGCCGCCAGCAGCCCCGCCGTGCCGTGCCTCATTTAGTCCGGTAAACAAGCGATTCAACATTGCATTTTGTAGTAGAGCAAAACGGTTTGGAGGGTATTGTAGTACATACCCAGGGGATACTTTTCCGAAGTGGAGCCCACCTCGAACCCGCGACTGGACCGCTGTACGGGGGTTGCATACTTGGCAGGGGCAACATGCAGAAAGCACGTAAAACATGATTTTTTCGAGCATGTTTTGGGCGGAATGGTTCCGAAAATGATTAATACAGTATGCGTAAACATGGTTTGCCCTATTATGCGGGTTGCCTACCTGTAAGGCGTAAAAATCACAAAAACTGGCTATCATTTTAAAAAAGTGTTCTTTGCGGCAAATATGCGTGCTACAGTGTTCATAAGTGCTTGCGGGGATTTGTTATATATAACTATAGTGGAGGAAGGTGTGTGAGTAAGTGGGGAAGGGGGGGGGGGGGGGGCACTCGTGCCAAAACGCCCCTAAACCTGCCGTAGGTTGTACTTTTTGGGTGTAATCAATTATTCACACTCTGGTGAAACCATCTAGTGGTTTTGTTGTACGCACCCGGACAGGGTACCTTTAAGAGCTGTTGCACACCTCTATTTTACAATTGGACCGCCCGCGACGAGCTAGTTGCATACTCCGCAGGGGCAAAATTTCAAAAAAAAACGCGTAATGATTACTTTACAGGCCCTTAACGGTCCCAATGGTTCTAAAAGTGGGACTTACATTATATTTTAACGTATTCTGGGAAATTATAGCGGGTTGCCTACTTCTAAGGCGTAAACATCTTGTATCTCAAAAAAATGTATAATCCACATCGATTTTTTTTATAGCCGCACCCCCGGAGTACGTTCTTGTGTACGTGTGAGTGTGTGAGATTGTGTGCCGAGAAAAAGTCATTCTGGTTGCCCAGAACACCCAAAAAAAAAAAAAAAAAAAAAAAAAAAACATAATGCGAGCGACATAAGATTCTGTTATTTATGACAAAAGTACTGTTTATTTATAGTTGATGCTATGATACCACACACTTCACTCTACAGCCACATGCTCATTTACTTCGCCGTAGAGGTAGGCAACCTGGTCAATTAAAGTCGTAATGTACGTAATATACTTCTCTTTCACTAATGAAGTTATTGTAGCAAATATCAGTTCCCCCTAAGAAGGGGTTATGATTGTTTTAAGAATTTTGCTCCTGTGGCGTATGCAACCCGCAACGAGCAAACCATTGTAGGCGAGGCGGGTAATAACTCTTAAAAATGACCCACGGCCGCCTGTGGCTGTGCACCCCAAACCGGCATTGCTTAACAACGAAATTGTTAAGGGCAACCTATACAGCCCGTAAGGTGCGCCCGTACCAGAGTTCTACCCCCCCCCCTCCCCTTTTCCCTGACGGGTGAACACACACACACACACATCTACCTGCAGAATTACAGCCATATATTCATACGCATTCACGCACGTTTGCCACGGAGAAGATTTTCAGACTAATAGCAAGTTTTTGTGATTTTTACGCCTTACAGGTAGGCAACCCGCATAATAGGGCAAACCATGTTTACGCATACTGTATTAATCATTTTCGGAACCATTCCGCCCAAAGCATGCTCGAAAAAATCATGTTTTACGTGCTTACTGTGTGTTGCCCCTGCCGAGTATGCAACCCCCGTACAGCGGTCCAGTCGCGGGTTCGAAGTGGGCTCCACTTCGGAAAAGTATCCCCTGGGTATGTACTACAATACCCTCCAAACCGTTTTGCTCTACTACAAAATGCAAACTTTGGCCGTTTTTCGTCGCTTGTTTACCGGACTAATTTACCTGGCGGGTCGTGGCGGGGTGTCGGGGGTGCGGCGCCTGAAGGCGGCTGATAACGTGCCGAGCCCCCGCGCCCCCGTCGCACCCCGCCACGCCAACACGGGGGCGCATCAGCTGTCAAAGCGGGTGACACCGCCCCGTGGTATGTGGTGCTGCGCGTTGGCGGCGACCCCGGAGACGACGGTGTGTGTGTGTAAGAGAGAGAGAGAGAGATTGAGAGCGAGGAGAGCGGGGGTGAGAGGAGAGTGAGGAGAGGAGGCGGGAGGAGGTGCTCGCAATAGCGCCGTATAGCGCGGCAACTTAACGGAGCCAATATGATACGACAGCCAGGCGACAGGCCGACAGGTCTGTCTTGCCATTCACCCACCGCGCCTCGCCCCGCCTCACCGCACCCCGCCCCGCCTTACCGCCACGACAGCTCGCCCACCGGATACTTATCAGTCGATTATGCGCCGTCACCGTCTCGTCTGCGATGCGTCCCCCCGCCCGCCCGCGTCGTGCAGCGCGCCAAACGTCTTTTGTCTCCGACATTTCTTTTTCTCACCACCCCAGTCAGTTTCTGCTCTCGCGCCCCACATTCCCCCTCGAAGGGGCGCTGCTGTGTGCGGGGCGCTATGCCGGGGTGTATTGGGTGTGTAACAAGCTATCATCAACCATTAGCCCCACGCACCCGGAGGCCGGGCCACCCCGGACCCGCCCCGCCGGCACTCTAGCCATTGTGGACGAGACCCTCCTCCCGACACCCTCCCCGCCACGCCCCGCCACGCCCCGCCACGCCCCGGGATGAATCGGGGAGGCGAGGCGCGGCGGCGCCCGGCAGGTGAGGCCGCAGGGCGGGGCCGTCATAACTTGATTTCAAGACACCACCCCGCCCCACCCCGCCCCGCCACCTCATCAGCTCCATGGGCGCCGCTCGCTTACCGCACTAATGAAATGGTGGTGCCTCGTGATCTGGCACGGGGGGTGTGGCACGGGGGTGTGGCACCGTCGGGCAAGGCGGGGTGGGGTGGGGCGGGGCACCTACCAGTGAATACGGGGGCCCCCACCCCGCCCCCGCGCTGGGCAGGGTGAGTGATGGCGACAAACCGAGATAGGATCGTGGCGCACGGCCGTCGTGCTCAACGAGATTACCAACTTGTTGGCAAATTTCACTGTCTCTGGGAAGAAAACCGTACGTCCGAGAGAGACAAAACGAAGGCAAATAAAAAGAGACGCTAGGTGGTCGAGTGGGCAGAGGAGAGGGCACTGTGACGAGCCGTTCGCCCAGACGGCCATAAAACACAAGAGGGGAGGGAGTGAGTTAAAACGGGAAAGAATGCGTCACCAGCCCCATTACGGGTTCCTATCTGAACGGAGCGCCGGATTGAGAGGCGGGGGCGGCTAGACAAAAGGGGGTCATCTTGATGAGGAGGATTAATTAATAAACGAACAGTGTCCTCAAAGGGAAAAGAAAGAACGGGGATGATGCGGTCGAGATGAACCGGATTCCAGTGACCCCGGCCCGACCCCGTTGGGGGACCTTTGACTGCTCCGCCGACCCCCTGATTTTAAGCCCTTACATAATAGACTTGAGCCGGCTCGCTGGACCGAGCCGGGGTTGCCCGAGGAATTTCAAGATTTCAAAGCGCGGGACAGAAAAGACAGCCATTATGCGACCTTGGCTCGGTGGGCGGGGGCATGGCGGGGCGGGGCGGGGGCCGGGGC